ATTTTTTCAAAGACAATTGAGAAATTTATTAATAAATTACTTAAAAGTTCTTTTTTTAATATCACTACATCCTACTTATATTTTATAAATTTACTGTAACATAGTTTCAAACAAAAATATAAAATAATATTTTACTTGAATAAATATTGCTGACTTATTAATAATCCCAGATAACTAAAAATTTTAATAAGTAGCGTAACCAGACATTTTAAACGGAGGGGAGGATATTACCAAAATATTCTACTTTTATAACCTTTTTTTAAATTCACAGATTTTTTTCTAGTTGCTTTTTTATATGAAGAGAGAAACCCAACTGTTTCTCTCCATAATAAATATTACCGTGAATATCATATTTAAAAACCTAAAATATAAATAAGTTATTTAATATTTTTGTATGCAAAATAAATAAAAAAAAGTACTAAGAATAGACTTTTGAATTTGTTATCATTATATCACTGTAATAATCAGTAATCAGTGTCTTCCATTAATAATATGGATATGGTATCATAGTTTAAAATACTGCGTTTCTACCAGGCCTATATATTTATTTAATTATTTTATCTATATCGTGTATTAACTATACAGTTTTATTTATACTTACTATCTCGTGTATTAATTATAGATACGATAACGCAAGGAACAAAGGAAGATGAAAAAAAAAGTCTTTAAACTTGCAAAAGAAAGAGAAAACCAGTCTAAAAATGATCACGATGTAGGTGTATAATAAGTGATGATAAGAGGGTGTTAATGAGTGATGATGATGTAAATAAAAAAGATAGAAACAGTATTTTGAAAAATTACTGAATGAGAGGAGTATCCAAGAGAGACATTAAAGGATATCTGATGGAAAGAAGCACTGGTAGATTTAATTAGTGAGAAAGATGTATGAGAGGTTCCTCATCTCTTTAAATTAATTTTAATTATCTGAAGGAGATGATGACATTTGGTGACAGACGAGTTGTTGAATAAAATAATTAAAGTTATTAACAATATAAATAAAACAAAAGTGACAGCAGCGAAAACTATGTCTATAACGGCCACTCAAACATAACTATTCTTTGTTAGTTCTAAGTCAGTAGCTCCAGGCTACGAACAAGTAAAATTGTCGCATCAGCATCTCTATGCTAATTAATATTTAATACAAAGTAAATAAATGAAAATACAACGTGTATAATATAAGTGGTAAGAACATGGTCATAAATGTTCTCACAAAAATCAACAATGTTTTTTGTGTGTGACAACTAATAGGAAAATATAGGGAAAAGAAAAAAAAGCTGTGTATGGTGGTATTTATAGATTCGGAGAAAGCGTATGACAGAGTACCGAGAGAGGTTTTAAAGTGGGCATTAATGAGAAAAGGAGTCCCGAAAAGGTACATTAATATAATAGAAGATATGTATGATGGCACTTGTACCAGGGTAAAATGGGTAGGAGGAGTAACAGAAGATCTTAGGGTAAAAGTAAGAGTGCACCAAGGTTCTGCTTTAACCCTATACATATTTTATATAGTGATGGATGAAATTATTAGAGAAATGCAAGGCGAGGTACTGTGCTACATGTTATTTGCTTACGATGTAGTGTTAATAGGAAAAAATAGGAAGGAAATTAATCAAAGGATGGAGATGTGGTGATCAGCTCTTGAAGAAAACGAAATCAATGAAAAAAAAACAGACTTTAGTTTATATAACTAAACTATAATGATAAAAATTTAACTAAAATCTCCCAAAGTTAACTATCATATTAATTTAAGTGGCGGATGATTATTTGAAGTGAGGAAATTCCCCTAAACATCCCTACCCTCGTCGTGCGTCTGACTGTAATATAATTTTTTTTTTTATGATATTAATTAAGTTATAGTACAAAAGAATGAAAAACAATTTCGGAAAGTAATAGTGTGACAGTGGTCGCTGAAGTTACCGTCATATTTGTTAGGCGTTACATTTGTGTTTACTGTGAAACATTATGTTTTATTGGAATAAATATTGCTCAAAACAGGAAGTTAATCATAATTGAATTAAATATAGTTAATAATTAAAGTGAATTAAGTATACGATATTATTTATAAATGGAAGAAAAATTCAGTCTGTCAATCATAAAACTAGTATTCCAAAAACATTATAAATTATTTATCTAATTTTTGTAATAATTAAAATTCAAGTATAATTTTCTTGTAGAATACTATACTTACTATTTTTCTCCAAAATCTATTGAATTTTCTGGTGTTTAAACTGAAATAATTATTTTTGATTCTACTAAATTATGTTTGTGAATTACTGTGAATTAATTAAAAATGGATCACACACTAGAAATAAAAAAACGATATAAAAATATAAACGGTAAAAGCTCGTCGTAGCTTTAATTTAAACGAGTTGATTTAGCAAGAATGCTAAGTTGTAATCACACTCGTGATAAAATTTAAATTAACAATGGAATCTTCTAAACCTAAAGTGTATTAAAGCTACTTCAATAACTTAACAGAGGTTTACTAAGCAAATCGTATAAAAGGATTTAAGACTGATTAAGTGAGAATAATTCACTGTTGAACAATGAAACACCAGTATATCCATACATCGACGACTATGCTAATTATTTAATTCAAATAGTATCAAACTAGTCCGTTGAAAAACTTTGAAAGATTAACGATAGACTTGGAATAATTTTTGAAAATATTGCTTCATTTTATTTTTACTTAATTTTTATTAATAATAACTTTAGAAACCGAAAGTATTATAAAATCGTTTTTAAACCCTAACCAAATTTACATTTTGACTTATAAAGTTAAAAAAAAAATTGAATGATATATTTTTTTTTGGTTACTTTCGGGTTTTAAACTTTTTTAAAGTCAAATTTTAAGTTTGAATAATATCTCAATATTTTTGGTTTCGATAACCGTTTTTTTAAATGTAAAAAAAAAAAATTATATAAATGAATTGATTAAGTTGATAATGTTTTTATACAGAGTGATCGAAATCTGGTAAGACACTTATTTTCTCAGAAACTACTGAGAATTTAAAATTTTTTTAAATGGGAAAAAAATTTTAAGTTCAAAAATCTCTACATTAATATGTAGTCAAATTATTATTATTATCGTCCTTTCAGGGATAAAAACCCTTATTTATCATTTTCTTAAATGGGAATCCTTATTTTTAATTTTATAATATGATAGAAAAAAAAATTACAAACAACTTAGTTAATACAATTTTTTTTTTCTATTAATCGTTCGTCCGTTACAGTTTGTTAAAGTTAAATGATTTTAGGCCAAGTTTCTTTTGTTATTTTACTGTATTAAATATAGAAGTCATTATTTTTGTTTGCTGTTACATAAACCAAATTTTATTGATCAGGTTATGACAGGTAAATTAGCTATAATAATCTGCGGCGTAATAAATGAGTGATAACAATTATAGATTCAAATCGGGTTTTCGGTTTGTTATTAATAGCAAAGTCTATGGATATGTAAGACTTACAAATAAAAATAATGACTTCTGTATTTAATACAGTAAAATAACAAAACAAGAAAATGATAAATAAGGGTTTTTATCCTTGAAAGGACGAAAATAATAATGATTTGACTACATATTAATGTAGAGATTTTTGAACTTAAAATTTTTTTCCCGTTTAAAAAAATTTTAAATTCTCAATAGTTTCTGAGAAAATAAGTGTCTTACCAGATTTCGATCACTCTGTATAAAAACATTATTGAAATAAATATAAATCTCGAAAGTGTGTGCGTATTAAAGCTATATATAATACCTCCTCAGAGTCGAATCGAAGCTAAAAAAAGTTTTTCATCCTTGGACGTCGAGACATATTCATCGAATTTAATGAACCATAGCGAAATATGAAGTAAGTTAATTTTCATTATCCAAAATCATTAGTACAAAAAATATGACTAATGAACATTAGTCATATTCTCACTCAGAGAATATTTCTGTGTCCTGTTAGAGATGATTTTAATAAATTTATTCTTGCACCTAAACACAAAGAACTATTGTTTCTTTTGATATCTACTTGTCTTTGTTGTACTAAACCTTCGGACTCTAGAGCTCCGATAAAACTTCATAATATACATGAATCAAATAGAAGATAAAGTATATAGGGTACGAGTTTGACATAGGAGAAAAAGAGATAGGTGAAATAAGGAGGTCAGTAATAATAGGCGAGGACGTGATTGGAGAGGTGGAGAGTTTTATGTATTTAGGGTCAGTTGTGCAAAAGAGTGGTTGTATTGACAAAGATGTAAGACACAGAATTAAGTGCGGGTGGTTGAAGTGGAGAGAAGCGTCTGGCGTCTTATACGATAAAAAAATTCCAATGAGGCTGTAATAAGGCCAGCTATGATATATGGTTCAGTGTTGGGCGGTTGATAAGAAAGTAGAGCAGAGAATGTGTGTAACAGAGATGAGAATGCTTAGATGGATGAGTGGAGTGACTAGAAAAATAGAATAAGAAATGAGCATATAAGATGGAGTATAGGTGTAGCGTCAATCGTGGATAAGATGAGAGAAAATAGACTTAGATGGTTTGGTCATGTTATGGGGAGAGAAGATCAAAAGCCGTAAGAACAGTTGTACAAATGAATGTTGAAGGAAGAAGAGGTAGAGAAAGACCAAAAAAGAGATGGAGAGATATTATTGAATGCGATATGAGGATAGCTGATCTGAGCGTAGAGGATGTGGGAGATCGTGTCAAGTGGAATTTTAGGATAAGGGTGTAATTGGGATTAAGGCGAGAAAGAAGAAGAAGACGAAGAATTAAAAAATTATAATCATGGAGTTTTTATCTTCTTAAAAGCTATCTGTGTTAAAATATTTAAACTTTTATTAATTATTGTGTATTAAATGATGGCCAAAGCATAAGTAAGAAGCACTAATATGAACTATCACGAATAAATAAAAAGAAAAAAAATTATAAAAGTTTTTTAGACACATTTATTTACTTATAAAAATATAAATTCTAAATTTAAAGCATAAAATAATAAATGAATTTTATATAGCAAATAATTGACATATCATTTAAAATGTTGACATGGTAACTGTTCACATATTTTTAATTGAGTCATACTTATCTTTAATTAAACTTTATTTCTAAAATTCATGCTAGTTTAATATTACAATGAGGCAGTTCAAATAATTCGGTATAGTTTAATAATACATTACAACACAATTGTCTAAAAAAATTTTTTATAGTAAATTATAAACAAAGTACCGCAATGATTTAATAATGAGTAAAAATATACAAAAGTTTCACAAATATTGCACAGTTTTGTATACAGAAAATTAACATTAAGTTTAAAAAAAATAATCAGAGATTTGGTTAACAATTTGTTCATATTAATACTATTTATCGATCATGAATATATTATAAAAAATTAATTTAACATAAATTTTAATACTTCAAAATAAAATATACAAGTACAACTTATTTTTAAATTTATTCTTTGATTTAAAAAATATATAAAATTAATATAATATATGTAATATTATATTATATTCAAAAAATATATTATTGCTTTATGTCATAACATTAAAAATAAAGTTTTTTTCATATAGAAGATTTCAGTTGTGGCTTTTTAGGAGGAGGTGTGGGTGGTCTAATGTCATCTTCTGAATTCACTAGTGGCTAAAAAAAAATATTAAGAGATTAAGGTTTTATTCAAATGCTCTCATATATATATATATACATGATGTCTCATACAATGTTCTTATAAATCCACCTACTTTTCTTATAGCAAATTGTCAGAACATCATAGTTTTATGCTACTTATTAAGTACAACTTACTATATTATTAATAATAATTGGACTAGAATAATCTGACATTGCTAAATTGTCTTTGTCTGATAAATTGGAGTAATCCGTTTCTCTAGCTTTCCTGGGTAATGGAGGTGGTACATCATCATCACTGGCTGTCGAATCTGTTGTTACTATTAAGTAAAGACAAAACTTAATTAACTAAAATAAAATTTTTAAAGTTTTATAATTATCATTAAATACCTAAAGAGTCTCTATTAAGGCTATTCATTGATGGTAATTTAGAATATTGAAATTGTCCACTATTAGGACGACTTAAACGTTTTTCTTTTTCTACTTCTGAACGTAGGGGCCTTTTTGGTGTCAACTAAAAAACCAAATTATTTAAAACATTTTTATGATATAATAAAAAATATATATAATTAATAAATACTTCTTGACGTAATTCAATGACAGGCGCTGGTGATGAAAATGCACTCAAAGTACTATTTATTGAACTTATTGACATGTTATCATTATCTGACATAGTATACCATTGACTAGTGCTTGTAGAAGTATTTGAAATACTAGAATCTCTATCATTGGATATCGTCATTTTTGATACAGTTCTATTTCGTCTCTTTTTTTCTTTTTTATCTTTTCTAGAAAGTGCTCCAATTGTTCCAAACTTATTTGATCCTGACACAAGGACAGGACCAGCAAATATGGCTAAACTAGATGAAAGTGAAGTTGTGGCTATTAAAGATGATTTTGAATTTGTAGTACCATTTTGCCCTCTGAAAATAAAACTGCATTTAGTGTTATTAATAATATTTTCACAGCGACACATTCTTCACATACTCAGTAGATCCAATACTGGAACCAGAATATCTTTTTTCATTTATATTATTTCCTGTTGTTGTGTGTCGTCTTATCTTAATATTATCAAATTTGATATCACATGTCTATAAAAGAAAAATACATATAAAAAATAATAATACAGTAGAATTAATTTTGTTCCTATTTGAGGCATTAATAAATTAAAAAAAAAAAAATTAAACAGTAAATTTATTGAAATCTTAGAAATTATAATTTTTTTTAATAATTAAATTGACAAAGAAATTATAAAATTTTCTTTAACAAGTAAAAAATTAATTAACTTTTACAATTTTTTCTAGGGAAATAGAATCTATGTAAATTGTTTGTTTTAAATATACTGATAGGAAAAAATTAAGACTTTTTGTTTACTTTTTAAATTTAAGCAATGAATTTCAATAAAAAATGAAATTAAGTTCTTAATTTACTATCCACCAATCATTTATGTATGGTTAATTATGTTATCTAGTGTTTTGTAAAGAAAAACTATAAGGATGTATATATTAACTAGTGATATATATTAGGTATGTCTGGAAATTTAATTACTAATAACCATACTTTCTTTCCATATTTATTTTCAATATGCATTTTCATTTTTGCAAAACAATCTTCAAGTCGTAATTGCAAAGGAGTTAAATTAGGATCAGCTCTAGCACCATGGACTTTAACACCAATTTCTAATAAAGGTATTTGTAATGCTACTAAGTCTTTTAGCTGCTGAATTAATAATTCATCTTCCATATGGTTTTCAAAATATTCTGTAGAAAAGAATGCTTTTTCATACTTAGTCACACCACCCATTACAGCAGCATCCAATATACCAGTTAATTTCATACTTAATGGATGAAGAGGCAATGACGCATCATTGCGATGAGTAATTATTAACTCTCTTAACTCTCTAAATAAATAAATTATAAATTTAAAATAAATAAAATTAGTCCAAGAATTTAATCAAATGTTTGAGTTTTTAATTTAATAGTAAATGGCATTTGAATTTTTAATTTAACTTTATTTGTTTATTAGATATAAACATTTAAAGTTTCAAATTTTTGAGTTAATATACATATATAATACACAAGGCATTACAAATACATGTAGCTAATTGGTTTTTTATGAGATAGCTGTCACAGACACAAATGTTTATTGTAAATTTTGACTATCAATAGATATACTTTTTGTATTGCAAGTTTGTGTATTTATAAAATAAAACCTTACTATCATTGATAAGAAATGCTGTGTACTTGCGAATATTGATAACATAAAAAACCTATTAGCTACCTGTATTTGTGTATTATTAGTGATAGAAATTTCGAATAGTAACTATCGAACTATTCTATAGTTACACAATATAATCGAATTAAACTATTCGAATAGTTTTTAAAATATTTGACAGTTTATGCTAAAAATAAAATATTCGGTTGTACAAAAACAATTTGAATAGTTATTCGATAGTTTTAAAAAACTATCGAATACTATTTATTATTTTTTATATTTATTTTTTGAGCAAGTAAAAATAATTTTAGAAAATTTTTGTAAATACCATTTTAGAAGAAAATATTAAAATCTATAATTTATATTCTATACATTGTTACGCTAAGTGGGTTAGTTTTCAAAATAATAATCAAAAACTGAAAAATTACTTTTTTGAACGAATTTTCAACACCGATTCGGACCTGAAGAGGGTAAGTTATCAAAACCAAATTTTACACAAATAACTTTCATATAATAAAAAACAAAATTGACTGGTATGGAGATCAATCAAAGAAAGTTAATAAAATAAGAGCCACCCTAATATATACCTGCGACTCACCCCAGTTCATTTTTTAAAATGCAATAACTTCTGAAATACTAGTAAAATAGTACTTTTTACTATTATTAATTGTATAATAATTTATTTTAAGTATTTGTTAATTATCTTCTTTTTATAATTAAGTGAACTTAATAAAAATTTTAGATAGAACTAATCGAATATTTTTTGAAACCATTCGCTAGTCCATTCGAATATTTATAAAAACTATTCGATAGTTTAAAATATTCGAAAATGCCCATCACTAATATATATATTAACTCAAAAATTTGAAACTTTAAATGTTTATATCTAATAAACAAATTAAGTTAGAGATACTCACCTATTAGCTTCTTGCATTGTTTCAATAGCATTCTCAAGTGGGCTTATTTCATAAGATTCAGAATGTTTTACTGGGAACCATCGTAAGATACCCGGTAAAGAAGATGTAGTATCCATAACAGTACGTTCTATCCAAAGATTAGCAAATTCATTATCATTATTTGATTCCATTTTTGGATCTATACGGTAAAAAGGCCTCGAGAATTTAAATTTTTTGACATCATTTACCCTATAATAAATGAATACTAATAAAATTCATAGAGTTATAATAGCAAAAAATACCTGTAATGTCTTAATATTTGTTCATTAATGGGTTTTTTTAACAAATGTTCTTTTCGTTCATCCATTACAGGTTCAACACTATTTATTTGTAAATCTAATATCATTAGTTAAGAATTTTTAACTTAAAAAATGTTTTCCCCCAAGTTAAATCTATTTGGTAAAATTCAAGTTTAGAATATATGTATACTTTTTTGATTTATATAAAGAATTTATAAAGTTCATAACTTAATTAGTAATGGTTTTATAATTTGAAAAGATACTTAAGAGAAATGAAACAGTCATCAAAAATAATACCCGCATAAGGAAATACTAATCCCAAACACCCTCTAAAATTTGTACTGATCAAAAATTTTACCACTCATCGATACATACTTTAAAATTTTTTTTACTTTTTAAATCATAATAATTTATTTATTATAAGAATAATGCCCAATATGGGCAAATGAATAAAACGTAAAAATAATATATAATATACGTACAAAAAAAAAGTTTTCTTAAATAATACAATAATGTGATAAAAATCAATTTACATTTAAACAAATATTCAAACTGCTAAATTAATGTGGAAAAAATTAATGGTATGCGGAATTCATTACAATTATTTGTAAGGCGATTTAATAATGATTAAATAGTTTTATTACTTTCTGTTTTATGATATAACCCAATCATTTTATCATACTTATTTCTAATTACATAAAATTATTTTTAAAAGGATACATTGACTTGTAGATTCCATGATATCTGATCCAGGTTTTGAAAGTGTTTGCATTAATGTAGCATTAGGAAACAAATGGCGAATTCTTGTTGAGAAATCACTCAAAAATTCATATTCTTTTCCTCTGTATACATATATTTTGTTTTGTAAAAACGATGGGAAACCTTTACCATAATAAGCTACTCTGAAATATTCAGGTTCAGGTCGAAGTTGCTTTATTATATTATCATAAAAGTTTGACATACGGTGCAGCAAAGAACTTAATTGAATGTAATCATATGTTTCACATTCACACTGTCTAACTAATTCTTTACACATACTTACAGCACATTCCCACATCTATATAACAAAACATAAATAAATTGATTAAAACATAAATTTATTGATATTAAATAAAATCCATTCTACTAAAAATAAAAACTATTATGTTTAGATGGTTAAAAGACAAAATATTTTATTTACTTTTCCTTTATCAAAATAATCAATAATATCGTGATAAAGGGCTTCTTTTAATTGCCTGTGAGTATCACAAGTTGGATATCTCAGTGGTGATCGCAACAAAGGTGGTAATGAGTCATTGGACCACGATAACAATTCACTGTGTAATCTAAGTGTATAAGCAGCTTCTGCAAAATCATCACAATCCAAATGAAGAGCACAAAGTTTGTTTACATATCTAATATATATTTCTTGACGCTTGATGTCCATATAGAAATTCTTAAAAAAATCAACAAACATTAAAATGTCATATTTATCTAATACAAATAAAATGCACTTACAAATAAAACATTTCAAAAAAAAAAATTATTTTAATGTATCACCAATATTATTTCATAGCATAAAAACAGAAAATGATTTTTATAAAATGTGTTATGAGAATGACTGACCTAGGCATGACATTAATACCGAGTTAGCATTTTTTTTTCTACTCAGATAGAATAATACGGTGATGAATATTATTGTTATAACTTTAATAATGAAAATAAGTAAAAGTGAAATGAACTCATTAAAAATAAATAAAAAAAAACAATATAAATTATCAAAAATAAGCAAATGAATGATAAAAGAAAAAAATCTTTATGCTTATAATTTTTAATGATACTTATTAAAATTTTTTAACGATTTATTAGAAAAAATTTACAACAGTAATATGCATTTAGTAATGCATGTAAAAATTTTTATAATTATGTAAACATATTAGTTAATATTAGCAATATTATTTAGTAAGTCATCTAAACATTCTGATTTTATACCTATTAAATATGCTTAGTCATCACCTTGATTTTTATACAGATACTAATTATTACATTATATTAGTCAAATATTTAGTAATTATACAGTTTAAATAATTGATTAGAAATTATAATTAATAATCAATTATTATTATTACAAATAATTATTATTAGTGTTAATTTTAATATTATTAAAATTATTTGAATTTAAGAACAATTATTAAATATTCTAAGAATATTATCAAAAAAAATAAAAAGTTATAACAAATTTCATAGATTTAATTATTTCATAAGAGCCTTTATTTTATAAAATTAATTTTTCATTATATATTGTACATAGTATTGATGTATTATCTCGGTTTTTACATTTTAAACATGTTTAAAACACCAGAAATTTCAAAATTTACAATGGTCTTACTAATAAATTGACAGTGCAGTTCATTCGATTTTCTTTATTCTCATCATCTACAACTGCTCGATACTCAAGTAATCGCTCCATTAAGCAAGTAACAATTTTCACAAATCTTATACCCTAAGTACATAGAAAAAATAACTATAGCAAAAATATCTAGAAGGCCTTAAGTTAATTTACTTGTTCTTTCATTGTAGAGTGATTTTCACACTGCATTAACATTATGGATTTAAAAAGTTCTTTAAACTGTTCATCACCTTTGCCTCCTTCTACTAAATAATCTAGTTTAGCAATCATTTCATTTTCAAACTATTAAAATAATAGTTAATATAGAAATTTTAGTAGTCTCATTCATAATTATGAATAAAAACTTAGTATTCAGAAGTCACATTTAAAAAACTTATGTTAGAAAAAAAGGTTGATCAACCTTGTAAATATATACAATTATTGTATGACAATAATTAATTAATTTAATATTGTTTTAAAAAAATTAAATTTTTTTAAGTTTTTTAATATTGTATGAATAATTAAAATTTCAAAATCGACAAATAAAAAATTAATTGATTATACATTTTGAAAAATAAAATAAGCACTAAGTACTTACTTCATTAAATTTAGCTTTAATATTACTAGAATCACGTTTATTAGTGTGCCCATCAAAACATGAATAAAATTCACACTGCATCATGTCAAAAAATATTGGAATAGTAGCTTTACGTAATTCAATTTCAGGAATTAATGTCATTTCTAAAAATAATCCTACTAGGTTGGGCACAAATTGTACTTTGTATTGTCCTATTAAAAGATAAAAATAATATATAATAAAAATTGAAACATTTTCTGTAAAAAATATACTTTACCTAAATTAAACCACATGCTTCTAATTTCAAAACCAGTTTCTCTACGCATATCTTTATATCGACTAATAATTCTCCAACGTTTATTGGATGAAAATTTTTCTAATTGAAGAGATGGTTGTGTTAAAAAAATAATAGCACAATGAAAAAAGTTATTCCATGCTTGATGTTCAAAATCTTTAAAGAAATAATCTCTAATTGTATGTGAAAAATATCTCAAAGACTTTAATATAACACTAAAATAGTTAGGTAAAAAATTATTATATATTACAATAAAAGTTTCTTAGTATAATGACATACCTATTTTGTAACATTATCATTTCACACCAATCTGGGGGGAAAACAGGCCGTGATACAAGATCTTTAAATACTAACAAAATTTCCATTAGGAAATCTAATAAATCAATTCTAGTAGGGAAATGCTTTATATATATATCAAAATGTTCAGCAGACATTTGACGTAATGCTGCTATCATAATAGATACTAAATAACCCTGAAAAAAAAAAATACATTTATAATTTAATAAAGAAGTTATTTATTTATTTTACTAACTAATAAGGATCCTTCTCTGTCCATTGCTATAGTAGTTTGAATAACAGTTCGCAAAACTGTTAACATTATTTCAGTAATATCACGAAATGTTGACACTGGATCAGCTGCATATAAAAGATCCATTATGTCCCCTAATAACTTTACACACATTTCAACCTATGCAATGACATAGCATAATAAAATTATTAATACAAAATATAAAACACAAAAAATTGTTAAAAGATAATTCATGTAAACAAAAGAACACAATATTTAAGACAAAACTCTCATAAAATATAAACATATCTAAAGCAAAATGTGATGTCTAGGCACATAATATATTTTTTCAAAACAAATTTTAGTCTTGTATTTATACATTGACACATAATAAAGCAACATAGTTTATATATGATAACATAGCCTGTGAAAAATATTGACTTAAATTGGTATAATAATAATTTTTTATTTAAGATTTTATTTAAAAAAACTTGAATTTTTAAAATTAAAGAAAAATTATATGAAATATATAATATAATTGAGCTAATGAAATAATGATGAAGAAAACCACTTTCACTCTTAACATTTTTCTTTGAACATTAATCTTAATTTACAAATTATTAATTAATATTAACTACTTTAAGCAGCAAGATTTAAAATAAAAGAAACTTTTATATTGGATGATTGATTAATAAATTATTAAAATTTTAAAGATAAATAGAATTAATTAATAGAGTAATACAAATTTATATAAATCAAAATACATTGAAAAATACTTTAAATAATGGAATTCAAATTTTACTAAATAATGTTTACATTTTGGGTTATTTGAACCGACAATTTAAAATGAAAATTATATAAAAATTAATAATATATTCATTTTAATAAATAAAATTTTACTAAAAATATTATATAATTAAAGCAGTACAAAAAAAATGTTTAATGAAAAATATACACATGAATTTCTTGAATTGTTTTCCTATTTATTTTTTTTTAGATTTCACAACAGGTTATGAAAATATTTTATGTAGTAATAATTATCATTAATAATAATATTAATAATGACATTATTAACACAGGTCAATAGTTATTAATAGAGATTAATTGCATTTACTAAAATTACATAGTATTCACTTTCTAGAAGCCATTATACAGAGGACAACATAGTTACAACTAAGAGCCTGTAATTATTGCTTTGAAGATGGACTCTGCAATTAGTCCAAAACGTCAGCTCATAACTAAAAAACTGGATATATTTAATAAAATTTCAAGCTAGAAGCCATTTTGGTTTGTGATATGCATGTCTTTATGTATAATAATGTATTCATTATAATTATTCAAAGAGTTGTATATTCATATTGTCTGGTACTATATTATATGATTTATGTAAATTTTAATTATCTTATACCTAAACATAAAACTTTACATTTTTTTAAATTAATAAAAAAATAATAAATTTTTTAATATATACAATAATATATGTTTAAACAAAACTGTAAGGTTTCGTTGTATTAACATTATTACACTATTAAAATCAAGTTTTAGTTACAGGTCTTCTTATTACACTTTTATCTAAAGTCTGTTTGTAATATTATGAAATTCAAAATATTACAATTTTTGTCAATGTATTAAAGTTTATTATAAATATTTAGATGATACATTTATTCTATTTAGAGGTACAAACAGACAAGCTGAGAAATGATCAACTGAAATTAAAATAATAATAATATTCAACCCATATTAGACAAAATGATTCTTTTTTAATCATTATAAATTTGAATTTTATACCTAGACAAAATTCACACAAACTGATACAATTATAAAATTTGATGTTAATCATACTTTCACATAAAAAATATCTTATTTTAACTTAATTTTTTATAGATAGAAAAGAATTTCTTTAGTGTTAACTATCAAAAAGATTTTAATACCATTCATGAAATTGCTTATAAAAATAATTTCAAAATTATTAATAACAAAATTCATAAAAGAAAAAACATTTATTATTTTTAAAATAAACCTGTATATAATATTAGTTATTGCAGTATGAAATATTATAACAGCATATCTGACTATTTTGTAAAAGTAATGAATAATAATTAAAATAATAAAAAGCTAGTAGTGTTTATAAATTAAATTATAGTTGTGGCAAATTTTATATTTAAAAAACAAAGTGACATTTTTTAACTAGGTATAATGAGAATATTTTGGAAATTAACTTTAAAAAAACCAATCTCAATTTTATTTTTGCCAAATACATTTTGGAAAATAATCTTAATATTGGTTATAAAATAAATAAAGACTTGGAAATTTTGAATTCACAAATAAACATATTTTTTAATTTGGTTTTAGAGGAAACTCATATATTCAACGAAATAAAAAAAAAATTATTTTGATAATATCTTATCTTATTATTCTATTAATGCTTTAGTATTTATAGAGGTTAAAATAGAGCATATATAAAAATCATATTTATTTTAGGAAAATATTTGTGACAAAATAATTTATTAACATACTTGATCACTTATGTCATGAGAGTCGAGGAGATTACGACCACTGGCTCCCAGCACTTTGGCAATTTTTGCGACAGATTTGGATTTGTTTCGATACTCGATGCTAGTTTTGGCCTAGAGGTTAATAAAGACTACAAAAAACTGCCTAGCTAATATATTTATACAATTTTTAATAGAAGCAGAGAATATAGAAAATTTATTAATAAAATTAACCATTAAATATAAAAAATTGAAATTTGATACTAATTAATTAATTATTAATTATATATTCTCTAAACTACATTAATCAATTTATTTTGATATTTGTTTTAGTTGAAACTTCAATATTTAACTAAAATTTTTTTTTTATAGTTTTAATGAAAAATAAATGCATTTTATTGCTATAAATAATTGAAAATAAATAAAATTGCATGCATTTGTCACATAATTTATTTGTTCACTATTAAATTTAAATAATATTATAATTGATTGTTAGTATTAAGCAGTTTTAATTGCAAATAAGTTACAAAACATATTCCAAACATGCATCTATTAAAAAAAATAATTAGACTGTAATTAGGTATGTTTCAATTTTTCAAGTAGAGATGTGTTTTAAAAAAATTATTCAATGAATATACAAGTTTTTGTATGAAATATCTTGAATACTATTTTTAATATTATTTATATAATAATATTATTTAATAGACATGCAATAACAGTGACATTTGAAAAGAAGAAATTAAGAGAAATATAACAATAATATTATTTGTTAGGTAATTACACATTATTATACAAATAAAAGTAATATAGCTAATAATAAACATAAATGGTAAATTTTTGGGTGCTAGTATCAGATCAAAGAATGGATCCCAAAAAATGTTAAAAGCTGAGCAATGGGTAACCAACTAGATTATTCTAGGACTAGATAACCAAGAAACTATTATATAATTTATATGAAATATGATTTGAAAACTAATTTATCATAAAAATGAAAATAAATCAGAGAAAAAAATAAACAACAGTACAAAGTTAAAAAAAAATAACTAAGTTTTAAATTCAAATTTTTCCTTGTAAGATAGTTATGGTATAGCTAAAACTTATTTTTGAGAAGAGAAAAGAATACATTAAAAATGTATCTTTAACATATAATTATTTTCTTCCCATCTACACTCTCATTCTTCTATGAATTATACCCCTTATAGAATAAAATTCATTTAATTTATATTTTAAAATTGAGGAGTTTTTTTAGAAATGTTTTTAGCATAGATTCAGTATTAAAAAAAAATTTTCTATAAAAATATCTAACTAAAAAAATATATATATAAAATTATGGATATCTTTAAATTTACCACCACCTTATTAAATATGTTAGTAAAGTATTCAAACATAGGCACACAAAACTGTCAAAATTGCCAATGTGCTGCGAGGATTAGGCTTATAAAGTTAACTTTCTCAACACTAAAACACATATTATATTATACATTATACATTATACACATATACGTATTATATTATATTAGACATACATTTAGTTCTCATTTAGTAAATTTAGCAAAATAAAAATAAACAAACAATAAAATAACAAAACAAAACACACACACACACATTGTAAAGCATGCACATATTATATGCCACAAACATATTTAAATTAACACTTATAATTTTGCTATTAACTGTTAGAACTATGTTTAGGTAGTAATTAGAAGTGTAATTTAGCATTTTTAATTTTGTTTTGCAAGTAAAATAAAAATAAATGGTAATTTTAGCTATATAAAAGTTTTATTTAACATTTTTGGAATAATAAAAAGAAAAAAAGGAATAAAAAAAATAATTACTTTATATAATTTAAATTATTATATGTGTACGTCTAAGAGTAGAGAAATTAATGATATAAAAATTATTCCAGAATAATTGAATTCTTTAAACAAAAATAAAATTTGAAAAAATGAAAGAAAGAAAAATGACATTTTTTTTGACAAAAATCATTTTACATTTATTCTCTCCTCCCATTACTATGTCTCCTTNAAGCTAAAAATGAAAGAAAGAAAAATGACATTTTTTTTGACAAAAATCATTTTACATTTTGGTTTTACATTTATTCTCTCCTCCCATTACTTTGTCTACTTGTTCTAAATATATTATTTATTCTAATTTTAAAGATATTATATGGATTATTTAATAATTATTTTAGTGAAATATAAGTATTTGCTTAATTACACAACTAACAGTGATTTATTCAACAATAATATTATAGATGGATGCATTATAAAAACTAAAAGTTTTTAAATTTACACATTTCTTATTTTAGAATAGTATTCTTAGAACACAATAAATATTTTCTTATATTCAATTTGCAAAACTTATTTGTTAAAAATATAAAACCGGTTACTATGAAATCACAAAACAGTTATTTCTACCGACCTCGTCAGAAGATTCCAATAATTCTTTGATTTTAGCTAAAACAGATGGTAGCAAAATAGCTCTACAATCGGCATTAAAAAAAAGCTTGCTATGTACTATATCATTCATGGTCATTAGCTTTTGTTTCACAAGTCTGGATGGAGGTACATTTCCTATCAATTCTACCAACAGTGAACTACGGAAAATAAAATGATTAAATATTTTAATAAATATAATTTAAAAAATATATTTATAAATAAGCTAATGACTTAACTGCTGAAATTTTAGGTAAAAAGAAAAAAGAAAAATCTAATTAGTAACAATATATAATAACAACAATGATAGTAATGATCATTAAAAATATTCACAAGTTGAAAGGTGTCAAATTTTGAACTGAGGTTCTACTGAATATAAAAGAAATTATACTGTAGCAAACAATAGGGCATACCTTAATATTTTTGATATATTATTTTCATTAAAAAAAATATTGCTTCATATTAACTTTAAACTTAAAGAAATACTTTTTTCAAATTAAATTTAAAAACACTACCTAAATAAAAAAGTTTGGATCAACAAATGTCACTACAATAAATTAGCCCTTATGGATTTGAAAAGTTCCAAAAATTGTATACTTTAAAATAACAATGGTAGTAATTAATTAAAGAATAAAAATCCAATTTTTGTGCAATTTTACATTCTTTCAACCTATGAAATCCAACAAAAATTAATTTACACGCACCTAAGTTGTGTACAGCTAAACACTATTATGATATCAGGAATTGAATGGGGTAAATATTTCAAGCATGCTCCTTGTAATAATAAAGTAGAATCTGTATTGATACACATTAAATTTGATATGAGTTTTAACATTTCATACATTGAAGCTTCAAAAGTTTGTTGTCCTTTTCCTTCATATAATCTATCAAAACATTATAATAATGTTTATCAATTTAATAACATACTAACATCATGTATAACCATTAAACATAAGACTGATTAACAAAATTGAACTTTTTTTAATCAGAATTGAAACTTTTCAAATACAAACTATTTTTTAAAGTTGATTTTAAGCATCTGTGTTACATAAGCATACAAGCTTATAGGCCTATATAATTATAAAATAACCGTAATTAAAAATATTTGAAAATATTACAATTTTAAATGAAATATATATAATGATAATATACAATGATTATTTAAAACAAATACATATATATGTATATATTTACTGTGAAAATAGGAACCGTGACCTTGCAATGAATTTCATAATATATTTGAAAGATTTCATTATGTTTAAGAGAAGATCTTTATCAGTACTTTCCCAATGAGATAAATAACATTTTAAGACTACAATAAGTTTACTAAAAATAATAAATATTTGAGTAGTACAATTAAGCAAAATTTATTAAAAAAAAAAAAAATGATTCCATACTTATAAGCAAGAGTAGCACAAAAGCTTTCTTGAATATATAAATCTAAAACTGGTTGAAAATGTTGATATTTTCTGTCTGAGACTAGTCCAATAATATAAAGCTAAAAATAAATTTGAAGTTTTTAAAACTAGTACAAAGTAAAATAGTTCACATAGTGTCCAATAAAGTGCACAATTTAACTTGGTAGCATTTTAAAAATATTTTATTCACAAAAATATTCTCATAATATTTAATAGTTATTACTGATCTAGTTTGTATACAGAGTGATTTTTTTATCATAACCCACTAGAATTACTAACAAAAAAAAAGTAATTTAAACATTTTCATTTTTTGATTACCTTTAGTTACATATTATCATGAATTATTAGCTGTGTAATACTTAATGTTTTTTCAAATGGAAACACATATTTTGAATTTAATAAGATGTTTGAGGCTTTATTTTAATAGTAAATAAATGGCATTTGAATTTTTAACATAATATTATTTGTTTATTAGATATAACACTATAATATTTTAAATTTTTGAGTTAATACACATGTATAATATATAAGGTATCACAAATTCAGGTAGTTATATGGTTTTTTATGATATCACTATCACAAATAAGTAGCGTTTATTGTTAATTATGACTTTATCAATAGAAATGGTTTCTGTATTGCCAGTTTGTGTATTTATAAAATCACAACAATTACTACCATACATAATAAATACTGCATATTTTCAAATATTGACAACATAAAAAACCATTAGCTATTAGTATTTGTAATATCTCGTGTATTAATTCAAATATTTGAAACATTAAAATTTTATATCTAATAAACAAATAGAGTTGTATCAAAAATTCAAATGCCATTTACTATTAAAATGAAAACTAAAAAGTTTAAAAAAAATAAAGTTAACTCCCTAACAACTTAAAAAGTATTACATAGTTAATAGTTCAAAAATGTAACTAAAGATAACCAAAAAAATAAAACTTTAAATTATTTTAATTTGTAAATAATTAAGTTATGATAAAAAATGACCCTGATAATTAATTTTTTTTTTAATTAGAGGTAATGGAGAGCTATTAGAGATAATAGAGATTCACAAACAATTAAGGGTTCTTAAGACAATAACATCCTCAGCTTCTAGATAATCTATATTATTATTATTAAAATACTTATTAATTTCCTGTCTTAATAACTATGCTCATGTTAAATAAGACAAGAAAGCCTATATAGTCAAAGTATGACGCATTCTCAACTGAGCTTCAAAGGTCATCATATTGGTAGTAGAATCATTATTTTTGTTTAAATAATAATGATCCTTTAAACATTTTTTACATAATGTTTCATTAAAAATAAAAGATTGTCAGCAAGGACAAGGGGATTAGTAATTCTATAGAGTGCATAACACAAGTTATTTAGTAAAGGTAGGTCATATACTAGATATTTTTTCTTTTCTAAATCTGAGATATTTCTAAATGTTAAAATATAAAATAAAATGCATTTACTTAAAAATTTTATTAATATATAATAATAATAAAAAACTATGCACTCTATGGGATACTCTATATATTTTAATATTACACTTAAAATATCTTACCAAACAATCAAACACCATATTATCAAACAGATCAGAATCAGAATTATGCATAAGAATATTAAATAAAGCATCTAATACATCCTGTAAGAATTTAACAATTTCTTCTCCATCAACTTTCATTAAAGCGTTAAGACTTTCCTTAAGCTTATCAGGGTGACTTGCCCAATTTAATAAACTTAAAAGATCAACTGCAAAATCAATTAAAAGAATATAAACATAATTTTTTTTTATTTGAAAGCTAAAAAACTTAATTATTTTATGTAATAGATAAAAATTATACTTAAAAATTACACTAACCATTTTGAGTAAGTTTTGTAGAACATATATTTGTATGGATAATAAACACATCTTTATTAGCTAAAGATAAACCAGGTACAGATATACGATTGTTTGTATCTACTAATTCATTTTTTCTGGAAGCTAAAGTAAGATAAGCTATATCTGTAGGATCAAATTTTTTGTAGTCAATCTTAAAATAAAAAAGTAAACTTCATATTTTAAAATTACATGTAACATCAATAAAACATTTCAAATACTTTGTACACAAGAAGTTCATGTAATGTATCTCGTAATGTGGTGCCATTGTCTTGCATTAATTTTACAAAAGATAAAGCAAAGGGTTTTTCATTTTTGTCTTTAGCTTCATTAGAAGATCGATGTTTAAATGTAAATTTTAAGTGACTACCTTTAAAATCTTCAATAGGAATAGCCAATTTAACAATTTCAAACCATCGTGGTTTGTCTTCATGGTAATACACAACTGAATTAAATTCAGAAATAGATTCTGATTCACCGCCCAAAAATATTACTCCCTATAAAATAAATAATTTTATAAAAAAAAAAAAAATAATAATAAAAAATAGTAAACTTACTAATAACTTAACACCTTTTTCATTACAAGCAGTAATAGTAACTTGAATGTTTTTGTCAGAGGACATACTACCCCTAGAAAACTCTCCTCCAACTAACATTAAATATAAGTCATTTCTAACATCACCAGGCAAAATAACTTCAGGAAAACCCATTTTCCTTATCAATGAGACATTACCTAATACCAAATGAGGATATTCTTCTCGAACCTGTGGTTAGATATAATATATCATTTGACTCCTTTACACAGAAAGAAATTAAATTGTATTGACTATGTACTAATTTTATTGTATGTTAAAAAAAAAGATAGTACTATGACAATGTACAAAAATAAGTTATTCATTATTTAGTTTTAGTAAAATATTCTTATAAACATATATTAATTATACAATTTTAAGTATGAAATATGTTTACTTAAATTTCAAAAATTATAAAAAAACTAAACATTAATTCATAAATTAAAAATGAATAGAACTTTACTTCTTTACTATTTAAAACTTACTGCTAATTCCAGTTTTGGTTCATCATTAAAAATTAGATTACATCTAGTTTCTAATAATTTAGTAGACAATTTAATAAGTATTTTAAAAATTATATTTTTTGTCTTAATGTGTAATTAAACCTGGTATATTGCTGTTAATGGAAAAACATGCATAAATCTCGAAAAATTTCATAAATATTGATTCTTTGCTACGATTTCCTTTCTATCAAAATTATATTTAAATTAAATAGATGTATGTTTCAATAATTGACATACATTTTTGCATTGAAAACATAGCAGTGTAATGAGATTTTATTTATCTTTATTATTTAATAAATTACAAAAAAAAAAGTTACAAAATAAAAATAAGAATAATAATTATAATTAAAATATTGTAAATAAATTTCTATAAAGGATAATATTTTTTTTTCAATTACAACACAAATTTTGAAAATACGTTTGAGTTTTATTCGAGGATATAATTCAAATTTATTTAAGAAATAAGAAAAGGCAAAATTAAGTAGTCATTATTAATTGTATGCTAAAAAACTATCATACCTTAGTTAAAAATATTAGCAATAGATTACATTATCTGTACTTCTATTTGAATACATTCCCAGATAACTTAAATGACATTAATAAAGAATAAGGGGAAAAATGTTTCAATATAAAACAGATGGAATAACGTTACATCAGAAAGTTGTGGAAATTTCTTCTTCTAATAGGCATATCTAACTTATTAATATTCATGTCTATATTGATACTATACCAAAAAACATTTGAAAAAAAAAATGGAAGCAAAGTGAGGTAAAGGTATAGTATGGATGTGGGATAGTTGGGACAAGTATAGATGAAATCTGACAGTAATAAAAATCACTATCATAAAAAACGTCTCCATGCAAATCTGTAGATAGTGTTTCATTTTAAGAAATTGCCAGATTATTCAAAAAGGAAAATGAACTCTTATTTTCTTATTTAAACTTTGATTACAAGTGTTATGATTTATAAGTATTATACATGAATAAATATTTATTATAGCAATTAAATATAGAATGAAAATGATATTTAATAATTTAACATTGTAATTTTTATGGAGAAATTATAAAAAATTATAACGTAGTTGTTATTATGATAAATGCGGATAAAACTTGAAGATCTTGATGCAATACTTGATAAAAATAAATTGTTAATTATGAGAAAATTTGCTGGTATACAAGGAATTTTCATCAGAGAACAAAAATATACTTTTCTAAACCAATATTTGCACCAATTTCAAATTTGCAATTAGATTTTTTCTATCACCTCTTTTTTTGAGATATTAATAATTAGAAAACAAGTATTTATAAATGAAAAAATTAATTAAATCAAAATAAATTATTTTTTTTTTCTTATAATACGTAACATAAGTTTTAATTTCTCATTCAAACACAGTATTTCCGGAACATTTTCAAAAGTTAAGTTGATAAAGTTAAATTTGAAGTAAAAGGTCAGACTTTGAAAAAATTTATACTAAACAAAATAAAAATACTTAAGGTATTTATATTGAAAAAAAATTATTTTTATTTTTNGACTTTGAAAAAATTTATACTAAACAAAATAAAAATACTTAAGGTATTTATATTGAAAAAAAATTATAGCAAATTTACTGATTTTAAAAATTGTCATTATTTGGAGGATTTCTATTATTTACGGGGGACGAGGGAAATTTCAAATTTTTGAAGGTAATGTTACTAGGGTAACTAGTTACGATTTGTGATCTTTAAATCATTGAGAAAAATCAATCCCGTGAGAACTAAGAAAAAGTAGTGACAGACACAAAAAAAAAATAAATAAATAAAATTAACACATCATGGTAAAATGAATACCTTCTCAGTTTCGCATCGAAGCTAAACAAAAATTTCGGACTTTTTTTTGTTTTTATGGTGTAAACGGACATTAAAGTTAATAAAAAAAATACAATTTTTGAAAAAAAAAATTCATTTTTATATTTTTAACTTTATAATGTTATAACTTTTTGAAAAATGTATGGATCATTAAAATTTTTTATGGTAGTACTTACCATAAAAAATAAAAGAAGTGTATAAATAGTACTTATTTATACACTTCTTTTATGCTACATACTTTTTAAAAAAAATTAATTAACAATCGTAAAATTAATACCGCCTTAATTCTGCATCAAAGCTAATACAACTTTAAAATTTAATGATTTTTTAATTTTTTTGGTTAACTTACTTAAAATTAATAAAATGATAATTTATTTTGAATAATTGAAATGATTAGTATGAAATTATGAATGTGGTAATGATGAAGTTTAAATAAGAATCAAAGTTATTTTAAAGGTTTCATAAATTAATAATTAGAATAGTTTATTTTATATTAATATAAATAAAATATTTTTCTTTATTCATATAAAAAAAAATTTACCTGCTTGATATCTCCATTAAGTAGTTTAAAGCTCACATGTAATCCTTGACCTTTATGATCTTTATGAGAGTAGTCTTTTAAATTTAAATATCTTTTTAGTGTATTTTCCAAATTATCTTTTTCACATCTATAAAGAAATGCATTTTAATAAAATATATATAAATTATAATTAATTTTTAGTGTCAATTAATACTATTATAAAAACTTAAATTTTTAATAACAGTTAAAAAATATTGAATTTTATAGTGAGCTATAATAGTTCAGAAGCTTTAATATATCATACGGTAAAAATGGCATAAAATGATGTTTGTCTTCATCACTTTCAAGTTTTCGAGTAAAATATAAAGTTAGATCTAAGGCTGCCACACCCCATGGTCTTCTGATTTGTGATGTCATTAAACTTTTTTTAGTATTGCTATCACTTTCCATACCACCAATTCTCACTATATAACAGACTAAGTACACTTTTTCTCTGGCCAGATCTCGAGTTCCTAAATCCTAAATAAAAATACAAAGCTGGAATTATTCAGATATAAATATTTATAGTGTTTTATGTTACTGTAAATAAAGCCTTAAAATTATGGAAAATATCATTTTGAGACCATCCTCCTTGATCTACTTTATTTGAGACCCATTTTACAACAAAGTTTTCAGAAATTGATTTTGCATTTTTAGCATCATATAACGATAATAATAATTCAGCATCATCAGTCATTTTACACATAAAGTTGTGCAGAGAAAAATATACAGTGTAATTATAAATATAATTTACTGTCTCGCTTGATTTTTTTATATTACTTGCAGTCTAGAAAAAAACATTTTATACAAAATCCATGAATTTAGTAAAAATTAAATTCTTACAGATGCATTTTGAATTCGATTTGTAGCAGTTTCATGATGTTTGTATAATTGTATAGTTGGTGTATGAAGCGGATTTAATATATTACCCTGTTCATCTCTAACAACCATATCTAAACCCAATAATCTAAAAAAATTTTTAAATAATTTGTTTTAACTTTATATTTTATAGTAATTTAAAATGTATGTCTACTTCAAATAGGGTACTCTTTCACAGAATATTTGGCAAATAATAATTTTTATCATTCATATTAAATAATACACTAGGAAATGAAATGATAGAAAATAATTTTATATGGATTTTTAATTTAATTTTAAATTAATGATAAAATAGTTAATAATATAGAGTTTATTTACTTATTTCCAACATCTATGGTGGATGTTGCTAATCTTTGTACTTCTTTTAATTCATCAATAGGTAATGTACCTGATAAAATTTTACTTCTAAACTTTACTAGTTCATAGATTTTGTTTTCTACATTTTTAAAATTTAAGTTGTTACACTATAATAAACATAATAAAAAAAAATTATTTAATATAAACTTGATAATAATAATAGTAAAATTAACTTACAATGTATAATTGTTTCCAAATAATAGCCCACTCTCTAACAACACTGGTAAGTTCATGAACTATTTGAGGCTGTTTTAACACTGTCAGCTCAGCTGGTCTAATTAATAAAGATAAAAAAGATTTAAAAATAATTTTGGTGTTAAAAGTGATTTTTTGGGTATAATTTTCATACCCAAATTTTTCAACAACATTATCCATAATATGAACAAATTTTTTAGGAAATATTCCGTGAGTTGATTTATTTTTAAAAGTAAATCCGTAATACCAATCAGTGCATTCTTCCAAAACGTGTACACATTCACCAACCAACAACTTGATTCTGTGTGGACCACTTTGTAAATAATTATGAATAGCTAAAAATAAGGTATGAATATTTTATTTAGGCCAAAATAGTAAAGGTCTAACTGTACTATTAAGTTAAATAGAGCAAGCAGTTAATATTACACTGCAAAAATGTAACATTATTTATCCCCCTTTTTTAATTTTAGTAACAATATATTGTTTTAAAGAACTTAATTAGAACTATATGAATGTTTTAACAAGCTCTTCCTGTTATGGGAGAATCAAAATTAGACATTTGATCATATATAAAATAAATAATGAACAAAAATTATGCAACAATAGAGAAATAGAAAACAATACTTCTAATTATCTAGCTAAAACTGTATAATACCTAGTAAAAATAGAAATAAAATGTTACCATATGCTCTAAAATTATTTAATGTTACATAATATTAAAACAATACACATCAAAATTAAGGTATTTTTATGGGGTTTGCTCAATTTTTAACCTTTAGAAATTCAATAATTCATAAATTCATTAATCTCATTATTTTTGAAAACATTGATATAAATATTTCATAAATTAGAATACATAAAGTATTTTATAAATAAATTGGAAAATAGTGTATAAAAGGTCATGATAAACTTAATAAATAAAAAAATAAAAATAATATTGAATTTTTTTAGTTTATTTTAGTTACATGTTTTTTTATAATTTATTAATCGTTAAATACATTTTCAGTTCATCCCATAAACTTTACAAGTGTGTTAATTTTATTATTTTTAAATTGCAATACTCATAATTAACTAGCTATTACTTTAAAATTTTCATGGGTTCTATAATACTGATTCAAAAATTGTTATCAACCAATCATTTTCTTAATTAGATAATTATCTTTTAAATATGCCAAATAATTATGTATATTGTTATTTGAAAAAATAATATTAACATCCTTATAAGGTATAATGTATGACTGTAAAATTTACTTTATGATTGATAAATTGGAAATGGTATATAAGTAAAGAAAACCCCATAAAAAAAGTAATCATTAAAATTATTATCTTTCAATTAAAAAAAATCCATTTCATTTTTCATTTTTTGTAATTGAATTCATGGAAGGTTTTCACGGATAATAGAGAACAATGGAAGATGGCTGCAAACCAATCCATGGATTGAAACCATACAATGAGAGAGAAGAAGATTTTCAAATATACTTACTTAAGGGAATAGGTAAATTTATATTAGTTTATGTAATACCAAAATGTTCTAGATAACTATATTAATTTATAAAACAAAAAGTGTAATCTATTTATGTTTTGTTTTACTCACTTTATGTCTTTTTATTTTATGTATAAAAATAATTTTTCTTAAGTAGGAGCCTAAAATATTTTATATTTAATTTAAACGTTAAAGTGCATTCAAATATATATTTTTTTGAAAAAATTAAAATATTAAAAATATTTTTAGATGTCTTTTAGTACAAAAAAATGTTCACTAGTAAAATATATTTAATTTAAGCTTATAAAATAGATTTGAAAACATAAGTTTTTTTATATGAATAACAGTAATATATCAAGTTTAAATATTAGAATTTTTAAAAAAATATTCAATTAGTAAAATATCTAGAACATTTAAGAAAAATATATAAATAAAATATTCAATGTTTGATTAATAATTATACTACTTTATTAATAAATACTTAGTAGCCTAAAAATATTTGATACATACCAATACCATATCTCCTTTTTTCTCCAACATGTGTCCAATTATTGATAGTCATGTCATAAAAGTGTCATTGGTTAACAAATATGAACAGAAATATTTACAACATAAGCCAAGTATTTTACTACAACGTATCAAAATTATTCAATGAAGGTACAGTATAAAAAAAAAGGGCTAAATATAAATGTAATATAAAAAAATTAAATCTTATACACTGTCAAATCATCTAGAATACTTAACGAGAAGTAAATACTGAAAGTAAACAAGAAGAAATATTCTCAAAAATAACTAAAACATAAATGTAACAATTTTCATTTTCATTTTTCAAGTTTTAACTGCGCTAGTACATTTGTTTCCTGTAATCACTAAATAACTTTAATCTATGGGTGTATTATGAATAGTAATATTACCTTATCAGTAAAGCATAATGCGATACAGGTTAGCCAATTGTTATAAATAAGACCAAGTAATAAAGTATTAGTGTGTAACCCATAGTATATTGAATAATTACACGATTATCCAATTCTAAAAACTAATTTTTAAATACATTTTTTTTTTTTAGTTTAGATATATATAGCCTCATATACCGTAGTTTGAAACATAATATTTTAAAACCAACAAAGCAATAAATTGTTTGATCAGGTTATAAATATTTATAGTAGGACAATTTTAATTAAAAACAATAAACATAATTAGTAGATAAAATCATAAGTTTTATTATCAACAAAATAATTTACACTGTTTTAAATCTAATACATAATAAAATAACTATCAAACTATTAATTTTGTGATAGACAACAATAATAGTCATAAAATTATGTGATTTTTTTATACATAGATTTATGAAAATAAATGGAAACTTTCCACCATAAAAACATAGAAAATAATAATGGTCATATTAATAAGAACTTAATAACTAACTAATTAAACAAGATGGATAAACTAAAATTATAGAAAGTAAATAATAACAACTTAAGTTACACTGCTTGGCAAAGGCAAGTTAAGAAAGTTTTACATAATATCAGTACAGCAAAATAAAAGCGATACTACAATGTTCTTAATAAAACATCTTGAGTAGATATTTTAAATTATTTATCTATATTTTTACTTAATCTACTGGAAAAAACCTAACAAAAATAAAACAATAAATCAAAATAATAACAATCAAATGATAAAACATATTAGATTATTTAAAAAGTTGCAGTAAAAGCAAATTACCATCTTTGGATAACTAAAACAATAATATGGCTAAGTTTAGTTTAAAATTAACAATAATATTTCTAATACCAACTAAGTATTATTGGTAACTGTGTTAGGTGGTATATGTGCATAAGGATGCCTTTTTGATTGACAGTTTTCTAAAGAGGTTCTGTTATTTTGAGGGGATACAGACATACCTAAAAAATTTTTAATTTTTTAGTAACTTAATAATAATTTATCTACAAAGAATGAATTTTTAGAAATATTATGAATTACCCTAGAGAAACAAAAAACTAAGTAAATAAAAATTAAATTAATGATACATTAATGTGATTAAAGTGATGAATGCTTATCATTTTTTTATGGTAGTGATAATTTCAATAGAGGGGCCCACCTCAAGGTACCGCACCTTAAATAGGTTTAAATGCGGCCCTGGAGATAGGCATTATTGCTTCGTTTTTTTCATAGATTTATTTATGTAGTATTATTAAAAACAACAATTATTTTTTATTACTATTATTATTTTAAGAGCAACTTGTAGCAATTTGTTACAAATGGTATTTTAAATAACTATTTTCTAAAATAATTTTAAATTAAATTAATATACATAAATATGAATTAGTTAATTGAAAGAACAGGGAATTATAAATGTATGAAATTCAAGATAAGTGGTCAAATCAATATAGTTTCCTATTTGTACCAAAGTAGAGTACAATCTTATTAAAATAAAAAATAATAACATGAATTTTTATTCTTTGTTTTATAATACATTATGTTTAACAGCGTGGTTAAGTTAAATTTATTTGTAATATTTATTGTACTAATAGTCTAGAATTAATGAATATTTTTTATACTAACTAGGTGATGATCCTAATTTAGTAGTATCAGATGATGTAGTCATTCGTGAAAAAGCAACTAGTGTATCTGGGAAATTGGGTGGTGTAGCTGGAGTATTACATGGTGTCATCTAGAAATAGCAAAATACCAATATAACAAAAATATTCCACTGAAGTTTTAATATTTCAATCAATTACTTGACCAATTCCAAATTGAGCTGTATTTTGATTACAGCTTGTAACTGATGAATCTTGAAAAAATATACTTAAGGCTGTCTAAAATAATAAAATAATATAAAATATTTGATTATCAAGTTGAACAACAACAATATAAACAATAGATAGAGGATAATAATTAATTGTTGTAAAACAGTTCATGAAGGTGCGAAATTGTGAAGTTCAAGGTCATTGACAATGATAATATCAACAATGAACATACAATAAAAATATTGTATTTTATAGCTACTACAGTGTTATTTACTTCAAATTGCCAATGTGCGGCTTGTAGAAACTGCTTCGCCTGATCTCTAGCACATCCAGCAGCTAAAACAAACTGATTGATCATAACTTGTTCGCGCAGAGAGTCCATGGCGACAGTAGTCGCCACCGCCTTGTACGTCTAAAACCGAAAAAATATATTGTAGGAATGTGATACAATGATTAGGACAATAATTACAACTCGATCCGTCGACACAACTAAACACTAGAATACTATAAGTGCAGTATCGTTATCGATGTTAAACGACCGACATTAATTTCGCGTATACTGGCATAATACACTGTATATGCGTTTTGTTGTCACTGTCCGGACAACGACATCCGGAATCCACTCACCGCGTATAGACTGTTCGCTATGCTTGATTTTTACTTAGGATTCACGCACGCACTGCCGTTTACGAGTCGACACGATATATAAGGCAAACGAGGTATACTCAGTAAAATCAAACGACAGAGTTGACAGAGTACAAATAAAAAAATTAACAACAATAACAAAAACAGTCAACAGTGGCGCAGTCTACACCGCTATCGTTTATCCACCACCACAGAATTAACTGCGGCAGAATCATAAAATATATGTAAAATAACAACAATGTTGTTTGCACACGCGCTCGCGCACTATGATTTACGGCAACGGAATGGCTGCCTAACTGAGTAGCATAACAGCTGTTCACACTACAACCCAACATTTCTTAGGCGCATTTCGTACAATAGTTATTCTGTTGCATTTAATACCTTTGTAAAATGACAGTCAAGTTAACTACCTAGATGTTTCTTATTCCCGTACAGCGTGTTACAAGTATAGTACCGGGCATACCGTTTCTCTTACACCGTTTTAATACATTGACCTTGAACTTAACAATTTTCTTTTCCTTAAAATTTTACACAGATAGTCATAGAGCCTCAGTATACATTTTTTTTTACTCGTTTTCTTAATTTTAGCTTGAACTAGCAAAGTAACTTTATTTATAAACTAATAATAGTTAAAAACCAATAAATATGTATTTTTGGTTTTTTATTTTTAATGAGTAATTGAAATAATCCAACCTTATGTCAGGTGTTATATTTATTACAGAATTGGCAATAACAAATCAGTTTGAATTTAAATAAATGTTGTATATGAAAATGCAATAAAGCCTTGGTATATAATATGCCTGTGATCATGATGAACAAATACTGCCATGTTTTCAATCAAAAAAATTTTTTAATTTAATTTTATTATACGCACCAGTTTGAATAACTTTTCAATAAAGCCTAATAAACACCTTAGGATTTGACCTATTGATTTAAATTTTATTTCTCATAATAAAATGGTAGCAATAATAGCATTAAAATTGATACACTTTATAATTTATCTATCAATTTATTCTCTATATAACTTATAAATACCACTAAAAAAATTATATGTAAAAAAGATTAAATATTATCTAATTTCTTGTATTTATTGCTAATAGCATGTTTTTATTTGCACCCCTACAATTAAATAATAATATAATTGTTATAAGAGTTTTAAGTAAGAAACAAAACGGGTTTCTATTGTTCTCAAGGTTTGTAATAATTCAACTGTTTCCTTTCTCATTGAACACTCTTCTGTATATTCTGAAATATTTTTTATCTTAAAATACTTACACTCTTTCAAATAAAAACGTTTTATTGTAGAAAAACAATATTTTTACTCTTCAAATTTTAGCTTCGATGCGAAGCTAAGAAGAAATTAATTTTACTGTGATGTGTTTAATTTGATTTTGAATTTTTTGTATGCTGTCTCTTTTTCTCAGTTCTAATTATGTTTTGACTTTTATAATTATTAACTTTTTCTTACTTCAAATTTTGATAACTTTTTGAAAAATGAATGAATCAAAATAAAATTATTTTATTATAAGTACGTTAAATATTTACTTTTTATAAAGTATATATTTTTGGAAAATCTTATAATTTATCTGCCTACGTGAAGGATTCATAATACAAACTTTGCATAAAAAATTAACATTTTCTACTTAAATGTTGAAAATGTTCTATAAATACTTCAAGTTGCAAATATATGTTAAAATATAACTAATATTACATAATATAAGAAAAAAATGTTTGTCCCGTACAATTTGACTTCTATGTGTAAACGACTCCTGAAATTAAACATAAAATGTTATATTTTTGTTAAACATTACCATTTTTGTCATGTTATAATTTTTCATTTCAACTATTTATGTTTTATATTTTAGGTAAAACAGTGTAGTTATATAGAAAGAGTAGGTTAGTACCCCCATTTAAACTCCACTTTTTACAAAAAAAAAAAAGAAATAAATAACATTTATGTATTAATTATAAATATTTTCAGGGATGATTTTTGCAGTTTGTAATGTCCATCCAATTGGTGCATTAAAAGTAAGGGCATGTCTTTTCCAATAAATATTTTACCAACCATTGACTTATGATAAATTCCAATTTTATAACTGATATAATAATAAACTAACAAAGGTCAGAAAAATCGATTTTTCACTATCTTAACTCACTGCTGATTAATTATAAAATGCCAATTAAATTGACAAAATTATAATTGATTAAATTAATACAAATTTATTATTAATAAACATTAGAGAAACAATATTGAGTGATGTCAAAGAAAGAAGAAGGAAGTGATATATCAATATCTTAGGTGATGTTTTCACTAATATTGCTCAATATGCGCCCATGGATGAGATATACAGTTATTTTCAAACTGATCATTTACAAACTACCAATCTATCAATTTTTAAATAAAAAAATATAAAATATTAATTGTTATTATTAAAAAAAGTTAATCACAGGTACAGCGTAGTGATGTAGAAGCTTATTTTGACTTGTGTTGATTAATATCTGACAGTGATTAAAATGAATATAAATGTGAACATAAAAGTCTTTCATGTGTATTAAAAAAAATCGATCAAATTTAACAAAAAATACATTTTGTACTTTTTATACTGAATTTAAGAAGTCGATTATTCATAGAGAAGTTAAGATAGAGCTGACCCCAAATAGCTGGGATAGAGCTACAAAGATGATAAGGTCGGTTTCTTATAGAGGACAAATTACCGGAACGCTTTTCTTCTTATTAGAATTATATATTAGATTAAACAAACTAATTTGAAATAATCTTGAATGATAAAAGTATTCCGTTAGTATGCAAACAATTACAAATTCCATCATTTTTACCGAAAATTGTATGATTTTTCGCTTTAGTGGTCGTTAACTTCAACAAATTAAGATTTCTAATAGTTTTTCATTTTTTATCGTAAAATACACGGTATTCGATTTAATTAAATACTTGTTTTTTGGAACATTATCAAAAGTTGCATAGAAAAAAAACATTGATACGATTTTAAAGCTCCTACAGTATCATGGTTAATGAATGAATTTTCAAAAAAAGTATATCTTCTGCATGGATAAAGTCTTACGTTATGAGAAAAATGTTCAATATTATATTATACTTGTATATAAGGCTAAGGGTTGAAAATATTGAGAAAGAGGTAAACATTTTCGTTGAGATGCCCTCGAAATGAAATTGTGGTTACGTTACTGGAGGGGGTTAAGTTTTCAAATCTTCCCTTAGTGATATTTTTAACTTTTAACTGCAACTAAAATAATAATAATCTTAAATAGAATATGTTATAAGTAAACATTTTCACCTATTAATCTTTTAATATACTTTTAGAGTTATAACATCTTTACATAATTTTGATATTCGATGATTTAATCTTGCAAATAAAAATCATATAATTAATACTGTACAGTGCCATTAACTGTACAGTGTTATACAGTACGCAAATACGAGTGTACACAGACGGACGCGAGCTAACATAATGATGTTATTTAAACAATTATGTACGGATTTTCTACAGTTCATTGCTTGTTCTATTTTTTGTTGATGATTGCTTTTATTGTCTTTTAAATATCATTTTCATATCTCTTAATATATATAAATAACCGGGAAATGTTATTAAATGATAATAATATTATATGACCCTAGTACTACGATAGACTATAATATTCACCTGCAAACCATTAAGTCTTCCGGGATCGATAATGATAATAAAATAACAAAATTCAACATAAATAACTTCCAATATAAGTATTGTATAATAATTAAAAATCGATCTCATATCTATTGGTACTAAATAAATCACAATTTATTGATTAAATGAATTTCGATATTTGAAATTTTAACATAATACAATGTTACAAACAAAAATATTAAAGTGTGTTTAATTTAGACTTGTCTGATATGTCAAATTAGATAACTATAGAATATTTATCTAGATAAAATCCTAATGCTGTAAGTGATAAAAAAACTAGGCAAAGTAAATCCAATAGCTTTTTAGCTACGCATCGAAGTATTGAAAGTTAATTTTTATGTCGAAGATGCTTATTCTACAAATTTACTTATTTTTTGCTCTATAGTCAAATATATTCTCAGAATTATAATATACAATGTATATTCAGTACTAGTTCGACACTAATTATAAACGTTTAACTTAACGACATAACAGTGGTATGATACCACAGCCATACTATCTGCACAATATTTATTTAGTACACTATAAGAAAATTCTCATACGTCAGTATGGAATTTTTAATAAACACGTTAATTTTACTCACATATAGTGTAATTTTGACATGATATATCAAAAATTCGTATGCAAAAATGATATTTTTATTACTATTTATAAAAATTTTTCCTTACATTCTATGCGTTAATAACATCGAATACACATATGGGAAAACTTGAACATTTTTGTTAAGCATATTACCAAATGTTTTATATTATGAATAATCATTTTAGTATATTTTAAATAACTTTCCTAAGTTTTTGTATAAAAAAAATTTTGCACTTTTGTTAAATACACAATTTAAAGTACATAATTTATTATATAAATCATTAAAACGTGACATTAGTAAAATTATAATTACTATGATGTAATAAGTAATAAGTATGATTAATACAAAAATTGTTAGGATAATTATTTGAATTATTCAAAGTGTATACACTTTATCGAATAATATTAACCATGAAAACTTAATTTTTCAATATTGTATAAATAATTGTTATTTTTAAAAAATATTTGTCAGTTTATTCAACATATTACCTACTTCCCAAGTTTAGTGAGTTATTTAAAATTATTTATTAAATAATAATTTAATAAGAGAAAATATTCTTACTGATTTGCAAAAATTCATAACATTATACTTTCGCCATAATTCACATAATGTAAATTTGGGTTGTAGAGTATATTTGTTTAGCAAAAATATACACTAGAATAGTAAACAAGTGTATTGTGTGAAAAATTTACATTAATTAATTTATTAATAAAAAATTTATATTAATTAATGAAATGATAGCTGTATCAAAAGTAGGAATTGTCAGTTAGCTTTATTTTATTCTGTGTATATAAAATAAAAAAAAAACCCAGCACAGGGGGGTCGCGGCACAGTGGTGACGTGGTATAGATGGATCAAGTATAATGATATCTGACAGTGATTAAAATCACTATAAAAAAAAAACGCTTCCATGCAAATCTTTAGATACTG